ATTATTATTATTATTATTATTATTATCATTATTATTATTATTATTATGATTATTATTGTTATTATTGTTATTATTGTTATTATTGTTGTTGTTATTATTATTATTATTATTATTATTATTATTATTATTATTATTATTATTATTATGATGATGATGATGATGATGATGATGTTGTAATGATGTTGTTTGTGTTCTTTAATTTTATTAAAGAGGGCCCCTGAATATCAGTTAACCTACTGGGCTAAACTAGAATGGTTACCCTCTTTAAAGATGGTTGAAATAAAAAATAAAAAAAATAAATACCCACTCTGACCCAAGACCCCTGTTACGCGCCTGGTATTAGCGCCAATGTGTGCCCTTGTGCGGACAGGGGATGTGCCCCCTCTGAAGCTGGAAACCTTCTTTTGGCAAAATAAATTGATGCAATTTGCTATTATAGGCCTAATCAATAAATTCCTCATCAACCGATATAACCTTAAACATTCTTGGAATTGACATAACATTACTGATGTCGTACACACCCTTCAGTGTGAAATGTGAAATGTGGCTCTCTTTGCAAGCACATCTAACATCTAAGGAAAGAAGAGCTTAGATTGGTAACAGATAAAATAATTTTGTTATCAACATTATACATTATGCTAATTTTCATCTTTGTAAGCGCATAAGACAGTGCAAATTATTTCTGTGACAGTCTTTCTAAGTGTGTAAAGCTCCATTTTATCCCATACATAGTCAAAATATTGGGGGGATGATACAATGGACCATCCCCCTTCAAATATTGGAGGATATATCCCCCATTGCCCCCGGGATCTACGCCTATGGCTAGAGTACACTAGGTAGGCTAGATGAAGAACTGACTAAGCCCTGGGCTTTGCCTCCACTACCTAGGCTAGCAGAAGCCCTTATATAATAATATTTTGGCCTGTCCTAAATGTTTCTAAATCCGATGTTTCTGTGTTTCTAAACTTATTTTTGATCGGTCTCACTCACACACGGCATCGCCTTTGTTTTGGTGTGTGTGTGATGTGTAGCGTGTCTTGTTGCTGCGAAGCAGCCAATTCATATTATTGACAGCAATTTGACCTCTGAAAGGTCATTGTAGGTAAAAAAAACCAAGGGCCTAAGACGACTGAAAAGCGGAGTTTCCTTCTTTCGTTCTGCCGGGTAAAATCAATTACTTTAGGCGACGTTTGTAGACTAACCTACACGTACCAACGTCCGCATGTCGCGACGCTCGAGTATTACTATTCAGCGTTTTTACTATATATTAGATTTCCTATTTCTACGTTTCGGCCCATGTCTCAGCCACAATATTTTGAGGCCAATATTATTTACGAACCCAGTTAAACTATATTTCATCGTGCTAATTATTATATTTCATCGTGCTAATTATTATATTTAGGCGACGCTTGTTAGACTGGCATACACGGTACCAACGCTCGTTTTTACTATGTTTCTACGTCAGCTCGAGACGCTCGATTATTACTATTCAGCGTTTTTACTATAACCATCATCATCATCATTTCAGCCGTTTTCGGCCCACTGCAGGGCGAAGGCCTCCCCCAAGCTGAAACCACCACGTCTGTCCTGTGCAGCTCTCATCCAGGAAATTCCGGCAAATCTCACGATCTCATCCCTCCATCTGATTTTAGGTCTTCCTCGACCTCGTGTGCCTATTCGGGGAGTCCATTCAGTTGTTAGCTTCGTCCATCTGTTGTCATTTGTTCTGGCGAGGTGCCCTGCCCATCTCCATTTCTTGTTTTTTACTACTTGCATAACATCATTAAATTTTGTTTGCTTTATGATCCATTTTATCTGATCCATTTTATAGTTTTCCTGTCTAACTTGTGATCCAACATACACCTTTCCATACTTCTTTGTGTTGCATTTAGTTTTTGTTCCATCTTCTTTGTCATTGCCCATGCCTCTGCTCCGTAGGTCATAGAAGGTAGTATGCACTGATTGAATACTCTACGTTTAAGGCATAGCGGTATGTTACTTTTCATGGTGATGTTTAATTTTCCAAAAGCACTCCACCCAGCTTGGGTTCTTCTTTTTATTTCTTCTAGGTGGCTATAATCCATTTTCACAAGTTGTCCCAAATATACATATTTGTCAGTTGTTTCTATGATTTCATTATTGATTTTGATTGGTTTAGCTTTCGCGTAAGCATTGAGCATGAGTTTCGTCTTTTTCTTGTTTATTTTTAATCCAATATTGTTACTTTCTTTGTTTAGTTGGTCGAACATTATTTCCAGATCCTCTGTATTGTCTGTGATGAGCACTATGTCATCCGCAAATCGGAGATGATTCAAATAATTCCCGTCTATGGAGATTCCTTTGTTACTCCAGTCCAACTTCTTGAAGATTTCCTCCAATGTAGCATTAAATGGTTTGGGTGAGATCATATCTCCTTGTCTCACTCCTCTTTCAATTTTTATCTTGCTGCTATCTTCATGTAATCTGATGGTTGATGTCCCTTGGTTATATATTGTCTTAATTATATTTATGTAGGATGGATGTATACCTTGGTTGATTAAAGATTCAAGGACTGATGGGATTTCAACACTGTCAAATGCTTTCTCATAGTCGATAAACCCGAGGTACAAGGGCTGTCTATATTCCCTCTGTTTTTGTATAATCTGGTTTATTACATGAAGATGGTCAGTTGTTGAAAAGCCACTTCTGAATCCTGCCTGCTCACGCGGCTGGTTAAAGTCCAGGATTCCAGTAATACGGTTTGTTAATGTTTTTGTAAATAGCTTATACAGATTTGAAAGAAGACTGATGGGCCTGTAATTTTTCAAATCCGTGATATCGCCTTTCTTGTAAAGTAATATAATGATGGCATTGTTCCAGCTATCTGGAATTTTATTTGTTCTGATGCAGATGGTAAAAAGTTCTGCAAGTTGTTTGCAAGCTATGTCCCCTCCTTCTTTGAGATATTCAATAAGAGCTTCATCTTCCCCTGGTGCTTTACCTATTTTCATATCTTTCAGAGCTTTTTTGACCTCATCCTGATATCGGGGACGGGTTCTTCTTCCGTTTTGCTGAAATCTGGTTTTCTTAGTTTCTTTTTACTGGAGTATTGATCTTTGTAGAATTCTTCCACCCTGCAAATGATTTTGTTCCTGTCATTTATTAATTTACCATCACTTGTTTTCAGTGCAATGATTTGGGATTTTCCAAGTGTAAGTTGTCGTTTTGCTCGTTTGAGGCTTCTGTGTTCTTTAATGGTCTGCTGAATTGTGTCTTTGTTGTATTTGCGGATTTCATTTTTCATCCGTTTTCTGATGGTTTTGCATGTTTCTGTATATTCTATCTGATGTTTTTTGTTATCTTTTTCATCTCCCTTATCTTCTTTAAAAGTTTGAGTGTTTCTCCTAAAAGTTTTTCCACTTTGTTGCAAGTGTTTTTACCAGCTACTTTTGATGCAAATTGTGTAATTGTGTTGGTAATTTGTTCACATCGACAATTTACATCTAGGCCTACTCCTTCTAGCTCATCGTGCAAAGCGTCAAACTTGTTTTGCAGGGCTGTTTGGTATTTTTCTGCCGGTTTTGTAAATTTAGTTGTGGTGTCTTTTTTCGCACTAATCTTGCCCTTTCCAGACGCATATTGATCTTAATTGTAGCTCTAACAAGACGGTGGTCGCTTCCGGTGTCAAACTGTGCAAGGACTGAAATGTCTTTCACAATTTCATGATTGCTGGCTAGGATAAAGTCTATTTTATTTTTGGTGTCTCCGTTGGGGCTTTTCCATGTCCATTTTCGATTTGGTTTCTTTTGGAAAAATGTGTTCATTATCTTTAGGTTTCTGCTTTCTGTGAATTCTATTAGTCTGTCTCCCCTTTCATTTCGTCCTCCAATTCCAAAACTTCCAATGGAATTTTCTTGGGTGTGAGTCTTCGATCTTACCTTGGCGTTAAAATCCCCCATAATTATTTTGTAGTGTGTTTTCTCTTGATTTAAGATGTTGTTTATTTCTTCATACATATCATCGACTTCGTCATCGGGCGGTATAAGTCAACTCGGCCCAAGTCTCGGCACAGTATTTTGAGGCCTATAGTATTTACGAACGCAGTTAAACTTATTTATGTCAACGTGCTAATTATCACATTTTAAAACAATAATTAAAAATGTATTATACAAGGGGCCGCGAAACTGTGGCCAAGTTGACTTGGTGCCGAGTTGACTCGAATTCGATCATGCTTACGTTGTGTGGTGCGTTGGCAGTCAACTCGCCTCTACAAACTCGCCCCTAGAAAATTCGCCGCCTTGAAAACTCCCCATACTAAATCATCTCACCAAATAAAAAAATTAAGAGTTGACGTTGAAACTTTATTTTAAAAAACCTAAATCATAATTCACCACTATAGACACTTTTTGACAAAAATGAAAAATTACGACTTTGTTACCCAATGAGAAGTGTTCTCATATTATTTGTTATATCTTTATTATTCATTATTTTCACTTGACTCGCATAAATAATTTTGTTCGAAGAACATTTATATGCAGTTGTACTTCGCAGCACTTCACTTGCAATTTGCAATTTCTAGTGTGAATATTTATATATACATCGTCATTAATTATTCATGATCTGACGGAACTGGTGCCCATATAACGCTTACCATAAATACGACGCCCCTCGCTATAAAGTACGGTAAAAGAGGGCGTCGTCGTGATACCATACGACTGGAAAGGGTTAAAAATGTTAAACAATATTCTACGATGAGACTGTCTCCAACTTAGTAGTACGATTACGATTTAAGTAAAATAAATGCCGTTGACTACTTGTAGTCGACTTTTTGTAACTGGTGGTGTGATGATAGGTGCCTAAGACTTAAATTTCGAAACACATGCTTAATACACAGTAGGGTAGTCGCTTATTGCTATGGGCGTTTATTATAGTGGTACAGTATTAGCAAATGTGTAGTATATATATTCTTGTAAAATTTAACAATAACAATAGTTTGATTGTCATCGTTGATTTGTAAGGTTTTGGAGAAACGTATTATACATAATGAGTATTGCCTTCTTAATCCTAACCAATACGGGTTCATTAAAGGGAAATTATGCGTGACTCAACTTAATGACGTATAATTTAAATGGGCTAAACTGCTTGACAAACGTGCTATTGTCGACACTGTATTTTTAGACATGAGTAAAGCATTTGATAAAATAGCA